GCGCAGTGGGACAGGGCTCCTTAACATGGATGTATATCAATTGTTTGCATACAACGAAAACACTGGATAGTATTTTGGAAGAGTTGAAATGATTCAGATTCATTTTACATCAGTGCCACCATGAACAGAGGTGAAGATAAATGTACAAAAAGGGTTTACAAAATGTCAAAGGTCAAGATCATGGTTACTTAAATTAGACTGGGGAGGTAATGTCATTTTGTACAGTTGAACAAAAATGTACTAAAAAATGCAGAGCAAACATCTATTTTACTTTATTTCCATCAGTAGAATGAAATATCTCTTAAACTTATTCACCCCTGAAGACACATTTGAAATCTTCCAATTCAAAGGTAGGAATAGTTCATTATGAAATTTCAGGGATAAATGAGTTAATTCTAATGTAAAGTGGTAGTACTGTAGGATAATATGGTTATAATATACATTAGATACTTAATACTACAATATGACAGTATGTTTCTATAATAGTAGTAAAAATACTAGGAAATCACTCTTTATACTTAATGCTTTGCAGCCACTTAAATGTCTTTTAGATAATTATCTAGTTTTGTTCATTTCTGTTGCATTGTATGCTTGATCTTCACAATCTATTGAACAAAGTGTTTTATTTCTTCACTGCCTTCAAATAATTCCTTTTGGAATGCATATTTGACATTTTCTTGTATGAATGAACTTTCAAAATTGTATAAAACAATTTATTTGATAAACAAAGTTTCACTGCACCATCAAACTGAGGAAATGCTTTGAATAGTTCCCTGTGTACTTATCCCTCTCTGGAAGTTTGATCTTGAGGACAAAAAAGTATGTTTTGTTATAGTTCTCTACAATATCTTGATTCTGGTATGCTCTGTATATTTCAATTCTTTCAATTATATGTATGATTTTGCTGATATTGCATATATTTTTATTTATTTATTTTTTCAAATATTTTTCAACATTACATTTTTACTGATTTTTTTGTTGGTCATTCATCTACCTTAAATCCACTTTCATTTTCATTCTGTTGAAATCATTCTTGATAGTTTTATTCAAACACATCATACTGAATGCTGTGTTTGATCAGTCTTACATTTGAATAATTAATCTTGTTGATTTAAGCAAAAACACACAAAAAGACTAAAAAATCAATGTTCAAGGATTAAGTCCTTTAATTCAATCAAACTCAGTATAAAAGGGTATCAAGACCTCAGAAATGGGTTTACAAGTGCATCATAAGGTAAACATAAGCATGTGAGCATAAGGTATGTTGGTCTGTTATAACTGTTCTGTACTGTTTGAATCAGGAACAATCCAAACGCATGAGCTCATCATTCAAAGTGAGTAATGGAGGAAGCCGAATCCTGAAGATTTGGATCCATTTTTCATATCCCCTTGTGTGGATTTGACCCCTTCAACTCCCTAACACACTCCTGTTTGAAAAGTCCTTCACTCAAAACCCTATGATAAAGTGATTGCAAGAAAAGTAGGTCATTGTTGTATTTCATTTGAAAATGTTCTGCCTCAAGGTGGTGTTAAAAAGTTGGATTATTTATGAGAAGAAGACTTTTTTATCAGTGAGAGGAAAATTATTGGACTTTGTATTACATATATTATACAGGCTGGAAGCAATTTCAGTTGTTTGAAAATGACATCCTTATATTTTGTGATATCATGTTGAAACTGAAGTTGGAAATATGACATCATGATTTGCAGAGATTGCTTCCTGGTCGGAGACTGGAATCGTGTCTAAATTATTACTTTCCTGACGTATTATGAACATCCTGGGAGAAACAGGTTCTTTAACTGGTGATGGTTGGTAATCATGTTAATATAACACTTGTTTGTTTATTTCCAAAAAAAAACCTTGGTAAAACTTTCGTCCGTGTGCAATTTAACCAAGCACCACTAATTGAGGAACGTCAAATTCTATTTATTATATTCGTACAATTTTTTATAACATTGAGTGTTTTTTATTATCTCCCTTTATTCCTTGTTAACCATGGTAACACATCCAAGTGGTAACTATTTTCCTGTACTGTTGTTATTGGAACCATGACAGCACTTGGATATTTGAAGCACTGATGCATGTATGAATGATGTTTCGTTTGTATGAAGACTGCGGCATGCATGTGTGGGTTATAGAGCAGTAAACTAACTTGTATTTTCTTGTGTGGATAATGTGTCCTCAGTTCCAGAGGCAATAGAAATAGCCTTTATTTATTAATTTTTTGAAGGGATAATGTTTTCAGAGGCAATAGAAATAGCCTGTATTTATTAATTATTTGTAGGGATAATGTTTTCAGAGGCAATAGAAATAGCCTGTATTTATTAATTATTTGTAGGGATAATGTTTTCAGAGGCAAAAAAAACAACCAATTCATTCCAAGGTTTTTGGTTGGTAGAATATTGACCAGCTTATAAGTTCAGTTTTCATTGAAATATTTTGAATTTAAAAATATAACAAGTATTTTGCTGTTTCTTGCCCTTCAGTGTTCGTTTTTATAATTAATGCTATTTAGAGAACATTTTACACAAATAATGCAGAATATCAGGTTCCCAAAATCCAAAAACGCCATTGGTCAAGGTCAAGGTAGTTGTTGCTTCTGATTGGCTGACAAACAGCTATATTTTTTTAAGGTTCCTCTTTTCAAGTCCTTTGTGTACAGTTTACCTGGGTTTTATTGGGCTTTAAATTTTGAATACAATTGTACCGATTTCTGAATTAATTTCTAAACTTTAGAAAACTGGAATTGAAGTAAATATGTCTTTTCCATTTTTAAAACTCCTGACTATGATTATATACACCTGTACGTTAAGTGAGTCCTAATCCCTGTGAACCAGTTGTTTGAAGTGTAATTGCAAAATTGTTTATTAAAAAAAAATGAAGTGATGACCTGATTTATATGAGCTAATTTATATTACATGGTAACAAATAAACAATTTTGTTATATATCTACCTCAGCATTTAATCTACCACTCCATACACTGAAAATACCATCGACATATTCTGATGACAATTTTCAAAAAAAAATAAAAAAAAATTGGTTGCCTGATTTATATTAGCTAACTGTATAATAAGTAACACACTTTCATCCTGTTTTCAATATGCAAATACCAGATTAATTAAACTGCAAAAGGATCTTCTTTTATATTCATTTCTTACTAATGTAAACAGTATTCCCTAGAAGTAGTAGTTTCCTTAAGGAAACAGGAAACACTAATATTAATTTATATAAAAAAATGTTTCATTTGACAAGTAATAGTTCACTCATGAATACGTGTTGTCTCCTTTACAGGTGTCGTTGATCATACATAAGGAAAAAGGTGAAAAAGTGTCAACAAAAAATCAATTATTTGATTACCTGGTATTCTTTTGGTTGACAAAAAATTATGGTTTAAACCAAACTGTTGAAATTAACGAGTTAAAAATAGAAAGTGGAAGGGTGTTAAATTTAACATTCCTTAGAAAAATATGAATGGGAAGATTAAACAAAAACAAAATTGATATTAGGTCAGTTTAAGAAGAAGACGTGATAGTGATGATGAAACATCTAGATGCAGATTTTGATCATTGTAAACAGTGGTTGTTCAAGGTTGGCTAATTTTAACCAACGGTTAGTAAAAAAAATCAAATAATTGCCAATAGAAAAAAAGGGCTTTCAAATAAAAATAATTGAAATCCCCAAAACATCTCAATCTTATGCGTCTTAACAAATCTATAGGAGGATGGTCTCTTAATTATTGTTTTGTTCATATTTGGAATTTTTCCTAACCACTGGTTGTCTTTAAGGAAGCTTTGTGCAACTGGGTTGTTTCTCTTGTACAACTGTAATGCAAGCTTCTATTAATACATACTAAGAGATTAATGTTTTGGCTTGTACAACTAAAATGCAAGCTTTAATCACTGTCAATAGATCGTCTGCTTTCTCTTGTACAATTAAAACCCAGGCTTTGATCAGTGTTAACAGATGTCTCAGGTTTCTCTTGTACAATTAAAACCCAGGCTTTGATCAGTGTTAACAGACATCTGGTTTCTCTTGTACAATATTACCCAGGCTTTGATCAGTGTAAACAGGAATCTAGTTTCTCTTGTACAAATATAACCCTAGCTTTGATCAGTGTGAACAGGAATCTAGTTTCTCTTGTACAATATTACCCAGGCTTTGATCAGTGTTAACAGGAATCTAGTTTCTCTTGTTCAATTATAACCATGCTGCTTTGATCAGTGTAAACAGATGTCTGCTTTCTCTAGTCAGTATTAATTTCAGCACAATTTCGTTTTTATACGACCGTCAAAATTGACGGTAGTATTATGGTATGGCGTTGTCCGGCCAGCCGGCCGGCGTAAACTTTGTTTGTTCGGCAATCTCCTCCTACATTTTTCGACCGATCTATTTGAGACTTGGTATACATTATAATCATGATATGAAGTTGTGTCTCCCTTAAAAGAATTTTGATTCGACAATTTTTCCAAACGTTATTGCCCTTTGTTCATTTCAGTATTTGAATTTTGTCTGGAGATCTCCTCCTACATTTTTTTACCGATCTCTTTGAAACTTGGTATTCATTATAATCTTGATATGAAGTTGTGTCTCCCTTAAAAGAAGTTTGATTTGACGATTTTTGCAAAAGTTATTGCCCTTTGTTCATTTTAGTATTTGATTTTTGTCCGGAGATCTCCTCCTACATTTTTCGACGGATATCTTTGAAACTTGGTATACTTTATAATCATGATATAAAGTTGTGTCTCCCTTAAAAGAATTTTGATTCAACGATTTTTGCAAAATGTATTGCCTTTTGTTCATTACGATTTTCTCCTACATTTTTTATAGTATATCAGCTAACCACTCTTAGAACGATGCAGATTTTATTTCAATGTAAGAAAGTATATAACACTAAATGGCATTCGACGGGCATATTTTGTTCCGCCCCGCGGTACTCTTGTTGCTAGTTATAAAATTATAGTTAAGTAGTCGACTAAAACCTCTGTGTTTTTGTTACAGCCGAGGAAGGCCCTACTTGACCAGTTGAGTGCAGTCCTGGGAGGGTCAGATGACCTTCTACCAGACAACATGGTACTGGTCAATACTGTGGAGTGGCAGGGACAGGTGCGTCTCATCAAACCATACCCTCAACATATACCTATATCAAAACACTTTCCGTCTCTGAATGTACTCTCTACTCCCTTAATACATCTGTTTTAAAGGCCTGGCATTTGGAAAATGCAAATGCCCTATATACACCTATCATCTATTCTTTTTGTCCATTTTTGTTTTCTGTGCAAACCCTTTATTAGATATTATCTGATTCTAATTAAGTTTTAGAAGTATGTACATTGTGCAAAAGCTAAGGCTGCGTTGGAATATGAGCAAAATCTGTGCAATCAACTACGACTGGACTCCAATGAAACTTGGGTCAACATTAACTATGCTGATAACATTTATACTTGTGGGCAGATCTGGCAGAGTCATTCACACTCCATCCTTCAAAGCAGACAGCCAGGGTTTGATCCCCAAAATTACCTTAGCACCAATTTAATGAGAAAGTGCATTCTCCTACCCACATAACTCCCAACAACCCAAGTGGCCTATAAAATGATCCGGGGTTGGTGTTCTTCCAGTGTCTGTGCTGTAGAGTTAAAGTGATATGGCTCAATGAAAAAGGGCACTGTTGGAATCGCAGTCCAACCAGAGAACAGCACTCATGCATGCACTCACACACACATGGAGGTATTAAGCAGGTGGCATATGGCCAGTAGTTAGTTGATATATTGTATTGTTTGTAAGAACTGTATATTTGTATACTGTTAAAAGTTTTAAGAAGCACTATATGAATTGTTTACTGATTTCTGTGTATTTATACAAAGAAAAAAGGCTTAGTTTGAATTTTAATAATATGTCTGCCTGAAATTAGGTAGCACAGAGCAATTCATTTGCCAATTTGGTTACAGTTTGATTAGTTCGGTGGGAAGGGGGTTTACGATTCTATTATAATGATATTCAGATAAATGTATATAGGAACTTGGGTAAAAGTAAGTAAAGTTTTAATTGAAATTGAAACCAGGCTATATCTTTATTTATATATAAACTCATCTGGTATAAAGTACCAGGCTGAGCCAATGTTAATATACTTTGTCCTTTCTTTGGTCTTTGGTCTTCTGTCCATCAGGTTTTTTTTCCAGCATCTCGCAAACAACTTAACTATTTGAACAACTTCAGCTCATGTGGATCAAAAGTTATACTAAAAGGATGCTGACTCTGGAGGCTGAGGGGCGGGGTCAGAAGGGGTCAAATTGTCTGGTTTGTTAGCTCACCTGCCCGAAGGGCAAGTGAGCTTATGTTATGGTCCGGCGTCCGTCTGTCCGACGTCAACTTTTTACTTTAAACAACTTCTTCTCAATAACCAAAAGGCCCAGGGTACTGATATTAGGCCTGTAGCATGCTGGGATGGAGGGCTACAAAGTTTGTTCAAATAAATGACCTTGACCCACTTTCAAGGTCACAGGGGTCAAATATGTTAAAATCTTCAAACAACTTCTTCTCAATAATAGAAAGGCCCAGGTTACTGATATTTAGCCTGTAGCATGCTGGGATGAAGGGCTACCAAGTTTGCTCAAATAAATGATCTTGACCAATTTTCAAGGTCACTGGAGTTTGATGTCTTAAAATCTTCAAACAACTTCTTCACAATAACAAAAAGGCCCATGGTACTGATATTGAACCTGTAGCATGCTGGGATGAAGGGCTACCAAGTTTGCTCAAATAAATGACCTTGACCAATTTTCAAGGTCACTGGAGTCTGATGTCTTAAAATCTTCAAACAACTTCTTCACAATAACAAAAAGGCCCATGGTACTGATATTGAACCTGTAGCATGCTGGGATGAAGTGCTACCAAGTTTGTTAAAATGAATGACCTTGACCCACTTTCAAGGTCACAGGGGTCAAATGTTTTAAAATCTTCAAACAACTTCTCAATAACCAAAAGGCCCAGGGTACTGAAATTAGGCCTGTAGCATGCTGGGATGAAGGACTACCAAGTTTGTTCAAATGAATGACCTTGATCCACTTTCAACCTGATGTCCTTGTTCGACATTCAAGGTCACAGGCGTCATAGGTTTAAATCTTTTAATAGGTTCTTATGAATCAAACACTGATATTCTGCCTGTAGCTGTATTTTAGTCCACTTTTAAGATTACAAGTGTGAGATTTATACCAGGTGAGCGATGCAGGCCCATTGGGCCTCTTGTTTTCATCGTCATCATCTTCACCCAAGTTATTGGGCAGATTTCAACCAAATTGTGATGGTATAGATATAGCATCCTCAGCCTGTGAGAATGGGGGGGGGGTTTTTCAAACCTTAAGATTCTGAGAGCCTTCAGCAGTGCAGTAGTACATGACTGTGTAGTGACTAGAGGATGTGTTTTTGTTTGGTTACTGCAGAGCCTTAAGCAGTGCAGCAGTACATCACGGTGTAGGGACCAGAGAATGTGTTTTTGTTTAGTTACTGCGAGCCTTCAGCAGTGCAGCAGTACATCACTGTGTAGGGACCAGAGAATGTGTTTTTGTTTAGTTACTGCGAGCCTTCAGCAGTGCAGCAGTACATGACTGTGTAGGGACTAGAGGATGTGTTTTTGTTTAGTTACTGCGAGCCTTCAGCAGTGCAGCAGTACATGACTGTGTAGGGACTAGAGGATGTGTTTTTGTTTAGTTACTGCGAGCCTTCAGCAGTGCAGCAGTACATGACTGTGTAGGGACTAGAGGATGTGTTTTTGTTTAGTTACTGCGAGCCTTCAGCAGTGCAGCAGTACATGACTGTGTAGGGACTAGAGGATGTGTTTTTGTTTAGTTACTGCGAGCCTTCAGCAGTGCAGCAGTACATGACTGTGTAGGGACTAGAGGATGTGTTTTTGTTTAGTTACTGCGAGCCTTCAGCAGTGCAGCAGTACATGACTGTGTAGGGACTAGAGGATGTGTTTTTGTTTAGTTACTGCGAGCCTTCAGCAGTGCAGCAGTACATGACTGTGTAGGGACTAGAGGATGTGTTTTTGTTTAGTTACTGCGAGCCTTCAGCAGTGCAGCAGTACATGACTGTGTAGGGACTAGAGGATGTGTTTTTGTTTAGTTACTGCGAGCCTTCAGCAGTGCAGCAGTACATGACTGTGTAGGGACTAGAGGATGTGTTTTTGTTTAGTTACTGCGAGCCTTCAGCAGTGCAGCAGTACATGACTGTGTAGGGACTAGAGGATGTGTTTTTGTTTAGTTACTGCGAGCCTTCAGCAGTGCAGCAGTACATGACTGTGTAGGGACTAGAGGATGTGTTTTTGTTTAGTTACTGCGAGCCTTCAGCAGTGCAGCAGTACATGACTGTGTAGGGACTAGAGGATGTGTTTTTGTTTAGTTACTGCGAGCCTTCAGCAGTGCAGCAGTACATGACTGTGTAGGGACTAGAGGATGTGTTTTTGTTTAGTTACTGCGAGCCTTCAGCAGTGCAGCAGTACATGACTGTGTAGGGACTAGAGGATGTGTTTTTGTTTAGTTACTGCGAGCCTTCAGCAGTGCAGCAGTACATGACTGTGTAGGGACTAGAGGATGTGTTTTTGTTTAGTTACTGCGAGCCTTCAGCAGTGCAGCAGTACATGACTGTGTAGGGACTAGAGGATGTGTTTTTGTTTAGTTACTGCGAGCCTTCAGCAGTGCAGCAGTACATGACTGTGTAGGGACTAGAGGATGTGTTTTTGTTTAGTTACTGCGAGCCTTCAGCAGTGCAGCAGTACATGACTGTGTAGGGACTAGAGGATGTGTTTTTGTTTAGTTACTGCGAGCCTTCAGCAGTGCAGCAGTACATGACTGTGTAGGGACTAGAGGATGTGTTTTTGTTTAGTTACTGCGAGCCTTCAGCAGTGCAGCAGTACATGACTGTGTAGGGACTAGAGGATGTGTTTTTGTTTAGTTACTGCGAGCCTTCAGCAGTGCAGCAGTACATGACTGTGTAGGGACTAGAGGATGTGTTTTTGTTTAGTTACTGCGAGCCTTCAGCAGTGCAGCAGTACATGACTGTGTAGGGACTAGAGGATGTGTTTTTGTTTAGTTACTGCGAGCCTTCAGCAGTGCAGCAGTACATGACTGTGTAGGGACTAGAGGATGTGTTTTTGTTTAGTTACTGCGAGCCTTCAGCAGTGCAGCAGTACATGACTGTGTAGGGACTAGAGGATGTGTTTTTGTTTAGTTACTGCGAGCCTTCAGCAGTGCAGCAGTACATGACTGTGTAGGGACTAGAGGATGTGTTTTTGTTTAGTTACTGCGAGCCTTCAGCAGTGCAGCAGTACATGACTGTGTAGGGACTAGAGGATGTGTTTTTGTTTAGTTACTGCGAGCCTTCAGCAGTGCAGCAGTACATGACTGTGTAGGGACTAGAGGATGTGTTTTTGTTTAGTTACTGCGAGCCTTCAGCAGTGCAGCAGTACATGACTGTGTAGGGACTAGAGGATGTGTTTTTGTTTAGTTACTGCGAGCCTTCAGCAGTGCAGCAGTACATGACTGTGTAGGGACTAGAGGATGTGTTTTTGTTTAGTTACTGCGAGCCTTCAGCAGTGCAGCAGTACATGACTGTGTAGGGACTAGAGGATGTGTTTTTGTTTAGTTACTGCGAGCCTTCAGCAGTGCAGCAGTACATGACTGTGTAGGGACTAGAGGATGTGTTTTTGTTTAGTTACTGCGAGCCTTCAGCAGTGCAGCAGTACATGACTGTGTAGGGACTAGAGGATGTGTTTTTGTTTAGTTACTGCGAGCCTTCAGCAGTGCAGCAGTACATGACTGTGTAGGGACTAGAGGATGTGTTTTTGTTTAGTTACTGCGAGCCTTCAGCAGTGCAGCAGTACATGACTGTGTAGGGACTAGAGGATGTGTTTTTGTTTAGTTACTGCGAGCCTTCAGCAGTGCAGCAGTACATGACTGTGTAGGGACTAGAGGATGTGTTTTTGTTTAGTTACTGCGAGCCTTCAGCAGTGCAGCAGTACATGACTGTGTAGGGACTAGAGGATGTGTTTTTGTTTAGTTACTGCGAGCCTTCAGCAGTGCAGCAGTACATGACTGTGTAGGGACTAGAGGATGTGTTTTTGTTTAGTTACTGCGAGCCTTCAGCAGTGCAGCAGTACATGACTGTGTAGGGACCAGAGGATGTGTTTTTGTTTAGTTACTGCGAGCCTTCAGCAGTGCAGCAGTACATGACTGTGTAGGGACCAGAGGATGTGTTTTTGTTTAGTTACTGCGAGCCTTCAGCAGTGCAGCAGTACATGACTGTGTAGGGACCAGAGGATGTGTTTTTGTTTAGTTACTGCGAGCCTTCAGCAGTGCAGCAGTACATGACTGTGTAGGGACCAGAGGATGTGTTTTTGTTTAGTTACTGCGAGCCTCCAGCAGTGCAGCGGTACATGACTGTGTAGGGACTAGAGGATGTGTTTTTGTTTAGATACTGCAGAGACTCCAGCAGTGCAGCAGTGCAGCAGTGCAGCAGTGCAGCAGTAAATGACTGTGTAGGGATTAGAGGATGTGTTTTGGTTTAGTTACTGCAGTGCCTTCAGCAGTGCAGAAGTACATGACTGTGTATGGACTAGAGGATGTGTGTTTGTTTATTTACTGCGAGCCTTCAGCAGTACAGCAGTACATGACTGGGTAGGGACCAGAGGATGTGTTTTTGATTAGTTACTGCGAGCCTTCAGCAGTACAGCAGTACATGACTGGGTAGGGACTAGAGGAAGTGTTTTTGTTTAGTAACTCCGAGCCTCCAGCAGTGCAGCGGTATATGACTGTGTAGGGACTAGAGAATGTGTTTTTGTTTATTTACTGCGAGCCTTCAGCAGTACAGCAGTACATGACTGGGTAGGGACTAGAGGATGGGTTTTTGTTTAGTTAATGCGAGCATTCAGCAGTGCAGCAATACATGACTGTGTAGTGACTAGAGGATGTGTTTTTGGTTAGTTACTGCAGAACCTTCAGCAGTGCAGCGGTATATGACTGTGTAGGGATTAGAGGATGTGTTTTTGTGTAGTTACTGCGAGCCTTCAGCAGTACAGCAGTACATGACTGTATAGGGACTAGAGGATGGGTTTTTGTTTAGTTGCTGCAGAGCCTCCAGCAGTACAGCAGTACATGACTGTGTAGGGACTAGAGAATGTGTTTTTGTTTAGATACTGCAGAGACTCCAGCAGTGCAGCGGTATATGACTGTGTAGGGATTAGAGGATGTGTTTTGGTTTAGTTACTGCAGTGCCTTCAGCAGTGCAGCGGTCCATGACTGTGTAGGGATTAGAGGATGTGTTTTGGTTTAGTTACTGCAGAACCTTCAGCAGTGCAGCGGTCCATGACTGTGTAGGGATTAGAGGATGTGTTTTGGTTTAGTTACTGCAGTGCCTTCAGCAGTGCAGCAATACATGACTGTGTAGGGGCTAGAGGATGTGTTTTGGTTTAGTTACTGCAGTGCCTTCAGCAGTGCAGAAGTACATGTCTGTGTAGGTACCAGAGGATGTGTTTTTGATTAGTTACTGCGAGCCTACAGCAGTGCAGCAGTAAATGACTGTGTAGGGACTAGAGGATGTGTTTTTGTTTAGTTACTGTATGATCATTTTTCTTGGTTCAGTTGATGGTGCAGAAACTGCAGGAGAAACAGCTCAAGGTGATCTGTACATGTGGGGACGCTGACGTCAAGGCTGCCATCAGCTTCCTCGTTACAAAAATACAAAAATTGTAAGTACCACTCAATTAGAATGAGAATTACATTGCAATCAGTCAAAAGATTCTATATTAAAAAAGGCAAATCAAAGCATTTTCAAATCTACAATTGCATAATATGTAAACTTGTTTGAGATTTAGCACAAATGAAGTCTGTGATAGTTGTAAAATTGACAAATTCCTGCTGACTGTTTGCCAGAGGGTAAAGATAAGACAAGGCCAAAGTGCATTGTGATTTGGTTGAATTATTTTTGTCATCTGTGTGTTGTCTCCCTTTACAGTTGTAACAGTAACTCCAAAAGTCCACAACCGGTGAAGGTTGGCATTGCGGGGGGCGACGGATACATCAACTCAGTACTACGACCATATGTAGAACAGTTCTCAGCCAAACCACACGACTGGCAGAACTACGTGCGCTTTCTAGTCATACCATTTGGTAAGTAGAGCAGGTTTGATTGATCTGCTCTTAATTATGCTTAATGAATATGCCATTTACCATTTACATAGAACCCCTTAAAAGATGAAATTATGTTATTCAAGTAATAATTATACCCCCTGCAACAAAGTTTTATCCTGGAATCAGTTTGTCTATCTGTCTGTCTGTCTATATGGCTAATAGCTGGTCCAGAGAAATCCTCCTTAACTAACGACCTGATTTTAACAAAACTTTGTTATGACTGGTACGTGATGAAGTTGTGTACCTGGCTTTCAAAGTTGAGAAATTAATAGATACATCAAAACTTCAACTCACTAATGTCAAACATCCAGTATAATTGAGATCGTGTGCATAAGACCAAATCTGATTCTTAAATGATGCAACACAGGCTTAGTAATAGAACTTGAACTCTATAAATATTGAATTTACAGTTATAACATAAGAAAAGCATGTTTATTTATATCAAATTCAACTTTTATTTGTTTGTCATTTAAATTCCGAAAGCATGTGCCCCTGTTAATGTACCGTTAATATTTTCACTGATTTATTGGTTGTAATTTTCAATGTTTTCAGAACAAATGGATCTTGATTTTTCATCAAAAACAGTGAGAAATTTGACTAATAAAAGTTTTGGATTCATTAATAAAAAACAATAAGTGTTATTTAAGGGGAAAAATAATTACTTGTTCTAAGTTTGACACATTGAGAAATTCAAATCTCCAAAGTTGGAAGTTTGACTGTATTTCGGTTCAATTTCTTTTTCCAGAGTTATTGCCCTTTATCATTTCTAACCCTATCCAGACAAATTTTCCAAAACGATGTGACCAATTGCAATGAATTATCTGGAAGTAATGCATAGGGGATTATCTGGGAGTAATGCATAGGAAATATACTTAGCACATCAAATGGCCTACTTTATTTTGGAATTCAAGATGTCTGCCAGTGCCTCTGATACGCTGTGACAATAACATTTATAATACAAGTTCAATGGAGCCGATGTTGTTGATACTTTGTAGAAATGTCACATATTAAATAAACTTTATGTTCAAAGGCTGGCTTGAACATTTTGGGAACAAGATGGATGGGCTTTGTGGCCTCTGATCTTTTGAGACATTAAAAAGGGTATTACATGTCGTGACCGGGAGTAATAAAGACGATAACAGTGTTATTTGTACATTATTGTTTGATATTTTACAGGTGTGAGTTATAGAAATGTTTGATATTTTACAGGTGTGAGGTATAGAAATGCTTGATATTTACAGTAGTGAGTTATATAAATGTTTGATATTTTACAGGTGTGAGTTATACAATGTTTGATATTTTACAGGTGTGAGTTATATAAATGTTTGATATTTTACAGGTGTGAGTTATATAAATGTTTGATATTTACAGGTGTGAGTTATACAATGTTGGATATTTTACAGGTGTGAGTTATACAATGTTCGATATTTTACAGGTGTGAGTTATACAATGTTCGATATTTTACAGGTGTGAGTTATATAGGGAAACACCTGGGAGCCCTAGATAACATGTACAGTTCACTGTTCCTTGATTCCCTGTGGAAGGATACATTTGAGAAGCCAGAGATATCAAAGCTAGGTAAAGCAAGAACACAATACGATTATTTAGTTTACCTCTCACACCCATGTCAAGGATGAAGTATAATACATCAGTCATATGTTTCTTTTCATTGTAATGAATTTTAGATTTTGATAAATTGCAAGATAAAGATTTTCTATACCTCTATCTTACAGAAGATACATAAATTTTAGATACACACATAGGAATGCCCTATTGGGTAGATTCTTTAGTCGCCAAACGCGAGGCTTGTCAAATGTTTGGCAATTAAAGAATCTTTCCCCTCAAGGGTCTCAACATTACAGGCACAAACCACACTGTTGGCGTGATGTCATTGTATTGTTGATGTGGCGTCCTACAATTGTCATGAACAGGGGGATCCTAAAAGTTGCAACGAAACAGTTTTTGGAGAATGATAATCAACCTTAGTAGGGTGTACAATTTCCATATTAAGCCTGATTATTTTATCATGCTTAGTGGACCATCAACACATAAAGATAAAAAGGACAAGCACAGAAGAAAGTGCTACCCTCTAATGACTATTACGTTCTGTATTTGTTTAGATTCATTGAATGTTTAAATGTATATCAATTTATTTTTTTCACGTGTGGCAGATTCCCAGGAAATTTTCAATCGGGTGTCCAAGTACCTGAGTAGTGCTAACGGGCTGCTACAAATCCCAATCTCCGAGGCGATGGTCATGTGTCGAGGTAGAAGGTACGTATCACCATAGAGCTGAACTATGTCAAGGTCAGACCCCCCCCCCTATCAAGGTAATGAGGGTCAAATTTGTAGTCCTTTGGTTATATACAGTAGCTACATGGTGGGATGAATGACTATCAGGTTTGATAAAATGCATGACCTTTACTCACTTTCAAGGTCACAGGGGTAGAATGTGGGACTGCTGTTATATGAAGTCTCAATGCTTAGTTTTATATGTGATTTGGGACTGCAGTCAAGCCCATCCTACATGCCCGGATGACTTCTCACATTTCTCAGTCCTACATATACTCATCCAGTGCATTCTCATTTTGATAGCCAATCCAAGTTGAGATTATAATTTTAGTTCAATTTAAATATTATCCTGGGAACGAAACATGCACTTAAGATATATCAGATACTTTGTACTTGCATTTAAATGTGTGCTCCTATTTTCATACATTTCTGTTCTGTTTCCAGCTCTGATGACGAGTCATCTCAGATGTTTGTACCGTTCTTGAGTGTAAGTATTTGAGTAGCTATCATCTAGTGCAACAGTCTTTTCTGTCCTTGATCAAGACCATGTCTTTCCAGTTGACGTAGTTATATAAATAGGACTAGAGAGAAGACTAGCGTTATAACACGTTCTGGCAGGGAGAGTGTTGTTCTGTTTATAGGCAAGGAATCTGATACACTTAGTGAAGCTTTTAGCCTTCTCTTGCAGAGAACTTCATTTCATACCTGATTTTGTTTGACTTCAAAGATTTAGCGAAATGTATACAAGTTCTCTTTGTAAAAAAGAGGAACACTACACAGTAAAATTGATGCTTTCCTAACTATTGTAACAGGAGAAAGATAATATGTAATGGCCAGACCAGGGTTCGAACTCGGGACCCTCCGAACTCTAGATGAACGCTCTACCAATTGAGCTACCTGGTAGCGGATGATTGACCCAGTCAAGTTCCGCTACATTCCTCCCTCCTTTTGCAAAGTCTTTGCCACCGAAGGCAAAACTGTTTACAACACAAGTTCAGGTTTCCCCTTGCTCAGAGACTCCCAGTGCTTGGAACAAGGGATGGCAAGCTCAACAATTTTGTAACAGGAGATAGAGAAAATGTGACGTCCAGACCAGGGTTTCGAACCCGGGACCCTCCGAACTCTAGACGAACGCTCTACCAATTGAGCTACTTGGTCGCCGATGATCGACCCAGTCCAGTTCCGCTACACTATGTTATGTATTCCCTCATTGATACATGTAAAATGTTTTTGTTTTTTTAACCATTACAGGAAGTAAAGATTGGAAATCCAGAGGTAGTAAATGCTTCAGGTAGGTATACAACCAAAGACAACCATTCACTTACTCGACCAGTAATAACAATTTAGGTACACCACACATGATAATAGTAACAATGTCACAGGGTGCCATATTGGATTTTGACTGTTCAAGTTTGCTATCACTATTTCTCAAGAAGTACTGGACAGATCTTTCTCAACTTTCATATGTTGGTTCCCCTTAGACTGTAGTTATGCAAGTTTTAGTTTGAGACTTATTGGCAAATTAAGATGGCTGTCGAGCAGCTATCTTCAAATTTGACAGTTCAAGTATGTTATTGCTCTTTCTGAAAGAGTTCTTGATGTTTCTTTCTCATATTTCATATGAAGGTTCCCCATATTCAGGCAGCCATCTTTGATATTTTAAGTTTTAACAGATTTCTTTTCAACTTCATATGGTCCTTAGTTGTGAACGTTTTATTTTGAGACTGAACTGAAAGACAAGATGGCCACCAGGTATATTCATCTTGTATGTTGACAGTTCAAGTTTGTTATTTTTAGTTTCTTAAGAAGAAAACAGACTTGAACTAATAACGACTTAATATTGAAAGGCAGGGTTATCATGGGCCTCGAAAAGCCATGAACTTTGCCGTTCAATAATATAATCCATATAGGATTATCCAGAGTTGTGCCTTTCTTACAGTTTTAAATTACCACAATTTTGTATCAAACAAAACAGTTTTTTAATGTTTAATAAAACTATTGATGACGATGCATAGTTGTATTTTTACCAAGGAGAAGTTTATTGGTAGCATTGTGTTGTTCTCTTGTTCTCTCTCGATCGGGCTTCCATTGGCCACATAGACAGGCCTTGAAAAAGCCTTGTAAAGACCTTAAATTTGGTTTGACATAATCTGTACGAACACTAAAAGGACACTCTTAAACCCAGCTATATGAAGTTTTATTGAAAAGTGATTACATGCATTTAGAGAAAAAAGAAAAAGAAAAAAAAATCGAAATTACCTAGAACTAATGAAGATGTTATGATGGTGAGCCCAAGATCCCCCTTGGATCTCTAACAATATTACTTATCAACTGTTGTCTGTCCTTACAGCATGTGCTCTCCTTGATAACTAACACAGGTATGTAGGTGTGACTCACTGTCTTGTTGTAGTGGACCTGGATGACTCCAGCTGTATGGTGAACTCCCCCTCCCTGTCCAGCTCACCCCCCTCTGCCATGATTCTACTAGACAAGCCAAAGGAGACTCAGACCCCTCCCAGCTCCCCCAGTGTCAACCTCACCCCCACCAGCCAGAGGTATGTAGCTAACCAACACCCATGTCCAGCATCGCATGGTGAGCACCATAACAAACCTGTGTGGTCAGTCAGGGTTTAGCGTGGATGAGTAACAAACCTGTGTGATCAGTCAAGGTTTAGCGTGGATGAAGTACAGAGATGTATGCCCCTCGGCAGTGTCATGGAAGGCATTACATTCCATTGCAGTAAATTCATTTATTCACTTTTTGTCAACACTCTAGCCTCATCACTTTGTAATAGAGTGTCATCAATCTTCATACAGTGTACAAATATGATAATACCTCAGACATGTTTGTATTTCAGTGTTCCCATATCATGGACATGAAGGTCACTGTTATTATTTATAGAAAAAGCTTGACCTCACTCTTGGAACTTTATTTCCTAACGAATTTTGATCTAACCTCATACAATACAGTGGTCAAGGTTACTAAAAAATCATTTCTTAATTCATTTTTATCCAACTTCGTACAATAATCAGTAAGGAAAATAATTCAAACAAGGGTGTCATGGTCAATGTCACTGTTACTATTCCTAGAAATATTTTTAAAGACTAGTGACTTTTTCATTCGTGAATATGTTCATGTGATTTACCCAGTCCAGTATTATTGCTGACATGACATATTTGTATGTGACACATGCTTATATTTTGCACACTGTATTTTTTATTTTTCTTCAATGGAACTTCAAAGCTGTCATGGTAAATACCCTGAACAGCCAGGAAGTTTGTTCAAATAAATTACCTTTACCTACTTTCAAGGTCGACATAGGTCAAATCATTTTTAAAAAGTGGAAATTACTTGCTGATCATTCTGACGATAATATGCAATTTCCTATATGAAATTTTACCAATACACTAATATAAATAACAAAGTACATGCATAATGTTTTATTTTCAAATTTAGGTAACATGATTATTTTATATTAATATTTCCTGTTGTTTCCATCTTCACACTTCATCCTAGGTCTGACAAAGGAGATTTGGCCTCTTGTAACCGAAAACTTGTAACCTAAACCTAACTAAAATACCTTACCCTTTTATTGTAGTAAAATGGTTATTATAATATCACAGTTATATTTTATAATATCTCAGTGACTTTTTCTTTCTATAATAAGCAGAATCCACTGTATTGTCCAAAGAATTCTTGATAACAAGTTTTTGAATTTTCATGAATTTATTTTTAAGGTTCATAGACAGCTAAAATAACCATTGTTTTATAATTGTGTTACTAGCCAAGGAAGCACCAGTAGCCCAGCTGGTCTGGGCGAGCTTATGGAGCTACAGGTTGATTACTGGACAGCCACCAACAAACCGGACAGCTCAGAGAAAACCGACAAAGCCAGTAAAAAGGACAGTAACAAGTCCTCACTCAAAACCACCTTCCGATCCCTTCAGGTCCAGCGAGCTGCACAACCACCCACGTCACCAGGCGACAGCCAATCAGCATGCTTCACGATGGTTGTGGTTACCAGGGAGAAAAAACAAAAAAGTGAGTGTGACCCTCAGCCCATTTGTTCCAAGCCTTGGGTCAGAACATTTAAGTTTTTCTGTTACAACATCTAAACAGGCATCAGCATATTGTGACATTCAAAAGTATTATTTGAATACATTATCAAAATAAAATTTGAATAGCTAACTTGATCGGAAGGACTTAGGTGAATTATGCCAAACCCTGGCATCCATAGTCTGTCCAGCAATAATTTCTTCAAACATCTTCTGCTACTGAACTGCCGAAAGGAATTTGTTGATGGTTGGTATTCAAAAGTATACAAAAAGAGGGCTTGACCCCAAAGGAGAGTTAAGGGCTGGTGTTGAAAAGGGGTTATCTGGCCATATAGGTTGAAGCAACTTCTCGGTAACTTTGTGATGGATATTAACCCTTTCATCACTGTAGACCATAATGGACTCATCCATATCAATGCATGGTAGAGTCTTCTTAAGTTACATAGGAGTGAAAGGGTTAATCAATATCGGTAGGAGGCACCTTCATGTGATGGGAATTAAACATTGTGCTAATGGAGCAGCTGACTAGCAGAGGGATGGGGCAAAAAAAGAGTAATTTGACCATATTGCATTTAGGGAATCTGTTTAACTGTATTTGATTGCAAGCATCCTCGGGTGGTGAGGATTCAACATTGTTCAAATTGAGGATTGACCCTCTAAGGGCTTAGGGCAGGGCTATAAATGGAAAGTTTAGCCTTAATGTTTTGAGCAATATTAACCAATTGCTAGGCATGCAGAGAGAACTATACTCATGCTACCATGGTTGCTCCTGGGATCCTCTTGGCCCCATGGGAATTATTCCCTAGGCTATAACTTGGAAATGGTGTAGATTCCCAGCATATTTATAATTGCTGGTCATTAAGAGACAAATACACTTGCCATAAGGATTGGCTTTTATGCCTGGCCCTAGTCTTCCCCCACCCTAGAGGGGTCGAATGGCAAAGTGGATAGCGCACACTCGCCTTTCACCAAGGCGACTGGGGTTCGTTTTCTGGAAAAGGTATGAGATCACCTGTCTGACCATGTGGGTCTTCTCTGGTAATTCTGGTTTCCTCCCAGCAAGCAACCAGAGAGATTAATATAAGTTAATATAACTTGTTTTATTATTGTACAGTTGTAAAATAAATGGACTTTGTATATTTTGCTTCAGATTTGGTAAATTTGTAAACTGTGGAGTGTAGTTTTTTGATGTTAATGAACCATGAAAATAAAAAGAATTTCAATTGTTATTGATGCGTTTCTCTTTTCAGTCATGAGGCTTGGTAAGAAGGCCAAGGATATTGAGTCTAAAAGCCAGGTTGTGGAGGGAATAAACAGACTTATATGTACATCCAAGAGTCAGAATTATTCCCTCAGAGGTAAGAACATCCGTGGAACAGCAATGATATTACATCACAAAACATCAGATTACATCAAAATTAAAGTCGTATGTAGGTGTGCAAAAAACATCAGATTACATCAAAAATAAAGTCATATGCAGGCGTGATGTGATGATGTCCCAAATTAAGCTTTAATTGTTTTTCAATAAGGCAAATTTGGTATAAATTTATAAAAATATGCTGCCACAAAATGGCGCCGTTGAAAATTTTCTTAAAGATGAAGAAAGAGGCCTACAGCCAATCAGATTGTAGCGTGGGATGTTAGCCAATCAAAAACCTCAAAACAATGGAGGCACCAAGAAGGGGGGAGCGGCATCCTAAGGGGGGCGATGTTCGTAGCAACCTTTTAACAATACTTGTCGAACAGTCTAATGGAGGGTTTATGTGTCGTGACATAAAATCAGTTATGTATATAACTTGCATATACTGATAAAAATCTTATCAAGATAGTAACATATTAATATTTGATAAGGTACCAAGGTACATTTTAGAGTCGTGTAGATTCTAGGTGCTTGTTGGTATCTCTTCATATTGATTTCTATTTCCTTTCCTCTATCAAACCTATCTATGACATTTTTTTGGTTCATCACATAAAATGGCCAGTATTATCACAAACTGGTAATTCAAACAGTTTATGTGTATTAATCAAATGTATGCATATGTTGTAGTACTTCTTTAATGTAATTACATTTCAAGGGAGATGGCTTTATATAAGATTAAAAATCTTGTGGCCAGATCCTATTAATATTCCAATTAACCTGTGTACTTATTATACATGATGTATGAAATAAAAGATTATTTAAACTAACCTGTATCTGTTTTACTCGCCAGTGATGGTGGATGGAACGGAGTGGAGAGGAATCAAGTTCTTCCAGTTGTCGTCCCAATGGCAAACGCATATTAAATCGTTCCCTGTGGTTGTCTTCTGTAACACAGAGATCCTGTGAATCATCGTATCATGAACCTGATCCCAAGGTTGTCTGGACAAATCCCCGTGTTTTGTGGAGGTCCAAGAATTGTTGTTTTGACAATTCCGAGGTTATATTAGCAACCGAGTTCCACTTTTTTATGGACAGGTGCAATACCTGGTGACCACGACAAAGGTCTGTGCCAGTGTGGTCCGATAACAACGTTAACATAGCTGGGCTTCCTTCACCATGGTTACCGAGGTAACCAAGAGCTTTAACACAGACAAAATGGTCTCCAATATGTTACAGAGCTTTAACAGTGCTGTAAGGTCGATGTAGGGGAGGCAACCTTTGATTGCACATCTATCAACAGACAATGGTGTGCTCCCTCCTTCCTACGTACTACATATTCTCCACGATGGATGTGGTCGATGTTTTGCATTGGGTTGTCTGTGCAGCATTTTAACATGGCAGGTTGGCCAGTCCGGGTCCAGATTGCCAAATCTTTATTGTGATAGTGCTTCTCTGTAAATACTGTGTGTGAACGTCTTGTAGATAACTGTTTATTTATAATGCCCTAATGGTTGTATTGCGACGTTTCATCAATCATAACTGTGTTATCTTTAATCCATACAAATGTATACAGGGAAATTTTCACCGAATTTTAATTTTCGCCTTTTTCCTCGTCCGCAGTGAGGGCGAATTTATTATTACAGCGAACAGTAGTAAACACTATAATTAACATAGTAATCAAATGTGACAGGCGAAATTACCATTGGGTGAATATGGATTTTATTGATGTTGGGCGAAAATTTGACAGGGCGAAAGTTTCCCGGTATACAGTAAATGTCCTATCAACTGAAGGTCCCCGGTAAGTACCACTGATGTTACCCGTCAATGGGATTATTACTAGTTCTTCCTCGTGTTACACAGAAATGTACCACATTTTCACAACTCTTCATAATATATAAATAACCGTTAACATGATTACCTTATTAACTTTAATCATCTTTCTGCCTTGTTTTTGCTCAAATGGCTTCTGCTTGTGTTAAGAGGGGTATTTTCTTGATTAGTACTGTTCATATTTCTGATATAGATGATTAACTCATTCACCCCTGAAATTTCATAATGAACTATTCCAACCTTTGAATTGGAAGAGTTCAAATGTGTCTTCGGGGGTGAATGAGTTAAGTTCACAGTAACTAACCCCGATTCCTGAACAAATGAACTGTATTCTGATACATGTAAGTTGTGTGTTGACTTATTTACCTGTTCTATCCAACCACTGTAAACAATTATAAACATTAATTATTATATAAGTAGGTCATTTTCACACCTTGTTTCCTATCCCCATAACTTTCACTTTTTCAATGTTTAAAAAAAAAAAAAGCACAATTACAGCAAGAAGGGGGTATCTATGGAGCTTTGCTCAGTGTTACCAAGGTAATTAGTTAAATTGAAGTTTCATAATGCATAATCCTTTTTCTGCCGGTAATTAATGTCAAGCTTAGGGGTTCTTAAGGCTGTTTTTTGACCATATATATTATTTGTTTTATTCATAATTTAATTGTATATAAGTGATACTGGATTTGTTTTTCATGTATATTTTTAAATTTCTTGAATGTTATATCATTATAACAGATTTGTTGTCATGTCCAGTTTCTATTTATGTTGTTGATTATATACACTATGGACCTGCTGAATTGTCAATGTCAATAGCTGAACATCGCCAGTAGTAGATGGAATGGAATGTTGAAAAGCTTGCTTTACCTACTTTCAGGTTATTTGTTTGAACGACAAAATATTTGTATTTTTGCATTTCAAGAAAGTTTGTTTGATTGATTTACATTCAAGCAATACGGTTTAGCCAGAAATTTACGCTGCCAGTTGATTTTCGCCTTTTTTTTGTTGGCTGCAATGAAAACGGATTTATCACTACAGCGAACACTAGTTAACAACATGATATGGATAGAAATTAAAGATGAAGGCGAAATAAACACTGGGTGAATATGGATCATTCTTACAACGAGCGAAAGTTTGACTGGGAAAGAAATTCCCGGTACACATTACATGAACTGTGACTTTTGAAATGTTCTTACGGATTTTCTTTTATGAAACATGAAACAATGTCTGATTAATGTAATATTTTAATCTAATCGTTAATAGCACAAAACACCAAATGGTGAACATGTTGTATTGTAGAGGTGTGAAAATATTGTTTTTTTTTATCCATGTTTCACCTTGGCTCATATAAAAATGAAAGAAAATGGTATTTCAAGAAGTTATTTTATATCAATCTCTATGAGAGTGATGTTCAGATATTGATGCGAATAATTTCTGGTCTCCGTTAGCTCAATAACCAGAACTACATGTAACATTACACTGATTTGTGATAGTACTAGGCATGTCACTCCCCAAATCTGTGTCGCTGATGGGGAGATTATTTTTTATGTTTATGATTATAACAGGTTTGTTCACATTGTCATCTTGCCAGAATACCAAAATTGACCTTCAGTATTGACTTTGTGGTTGTCCGACCCACCTTTCCTCTATTATCCACGCCTGGTGTAGGTGATGGTGCTATATTTGTAGTATTTTTATCCTAGATAAACAAGGCCATTCTTGTTGTAGATATTATTGATTTGTGAATTTGATTTTGTTATGTTATTTTATACGCTAATTAAGAGAGGTTAGATTTTGTTACTGACCCCCATTCGTGTTACGTAGACAACATTTGTGATTTATGAGTACAAAATGGAAGTGTTTTATCTAATTTCTAGATCCATAAAACCCCATTATAAGCAGTTTGATAAAATGTTAATTCTAGAAGAATACAAATTGTGAAACCAAAGGGTTTTTTAATCAGTGTGATTCTAACGTGTATGAAACAAGGACATTGATTGGTTAAATCAAACATGTATCCATAGTATTGTGGTTCTAATGTGTAATGTAATGAGGTTGAGGATTGGTTAATTAAATACTTTTGTCTTTTATATTGAATTTCATTGGTTGAGCAATGTTTCACTAGTCTGACCCGAGTCACAGCTGGTATAATATAGTCCCAGGATTTAAGTTCATAATAATTAAGACTGCCTCCTATACAAGTCAGATTTTTAGCTCACGTGGCCCGAAGCGCCAAGTGAGCTTATGCCGTGGTACGGCGTCCGTCCTACTGTCCGTCTGTCGTCCGGCATCAATATTTTACTTTAAACAACTTCTTCTGAATTACCGAGAGGCCCAGGCTGATGTTATTTCGCCAGTAGTATGCTGGGATGAAGGGCTACCAAGTTTGTTCAAATGAATGACCTTGACCTACTTTCAAGGTCACAGGGGTCAAATATGTTAAAATCTTCAAACAACTTCTTCTCAATAGCCAAAAAGCCAAGGGTACTGATATTCAGCCTGTAGCATGCTGGGATGATGGGCTACTAAGTTTGTTCAAATGAATTACCTTGACCGACTTTCAAGGTCGCAGGGGTCAATTAGGTTAAGATCTTCAAACAACTTCTCAGCCTGTAGCATGCTGTGATGATAGGCTACTAAGTTTGTTCAAATGAATGCCCTTGACCCACTTTCAACTTTATGTCCTTGTTCGACATTCACGGTCACAGGCGTCATATGTTTAAATATTTTAATTAGTTCTTATGAATCAAACACCGATATTCTGCCTGTAGCTGTATTTTAGTCCTCTTTTAAGATTAGAAGTGTGAGATCAATACCAGGTGAGCGATGCAGGCCCATTGGGTCTTGTTGGTTTTTGTTTTGATAGATGTATTGTGTTAACTGATTTTTGATTTTCCTGCAATAGTTTGTTGAAGATTTTAAACCCTAATAGTCATTTCAGATTTGTGCAATGTTTTTATTTTCATAAATGCAATTAATTCTATGTCTGTCGGATATGTCCTCATGGAACAGCATTAACCGTGTAAGTATAGATAATATTAGAGTGATCTCCCTTGATGTATCTCCTCTATCTGTATATGTATATACCTTTACATCGGATGAGAGCAAGATGAATCTATACTTAGATCTGATGACGTTTAAAACCCCTTAATACTGTAAAAGTGGATTTTTTTTGTGGTTTGGAAATGTTCACATTTTTCGTATTAGATAAATCAATGCAAAAATATTAATAATAATAAAAGTAATAATAATTTGAGGTTGTTATGTACCGCTTTATCACAACCTAGTTCGTAGGTCGTCTCAAAGCGGTTCACAAATTATTATCCGTGGCGTCCTACCACTAGACTACCGTGCCTACACACCAATTTTTATTTATAAATCATAATAAATTACAGATAAGTAGAATATGTAGATTTCAGAACTACATGTGTTCCCAAAATGAATGCAAATGATCATTTCCACACCGCGATCAATTTAACAGGTCACAACACGATCATTTCCACACCGCGATCAATTTAACAGGTCACAACACGACCATTTCAACACCGCCATCAATTTAACAGGTCACAACATGATCATTTCCACACCGCGATCAATTTAACAGGTCACAACATGATCATTTCCACACCGCGATCAATTTAACAGGTCACAACACGTCATTTCCCCACCGCAGTCAATTTAACAGGTCACAACATGATCATTTCCACACCGCGATCAATTTAACAGGTCACAACATGATCATTTCCACACCGCGATCAATTTAACAGATAACAACACGATCATTTCCACACTGCGATCAATTTAACAGGTCACAACACAATCATTTCCCCACCGCGGTCAATTTAACAGGTCACAACACGATCATTTCCCCACCGCAATCAGTTTAACAGGTCACAACACGATCATTTCCACACGAAAAAAGTACCTCTTTTACAGGATTTAATATGCATTTTGTGTTCTTTCACTTTCTTTTGATACAATTCAGCATAAATTTGATTTCTAGGTCTGATTCCTAGACTGAGTGCTTGTAGGCGACACATTTAGATGCTTACCTAGATAATGTGATAGTTCGGGAGAATATTTTACATTACTGCAAATCTTTCACTTTTAAAATTGTTTAAAAACATTTGAGGTGTGCTTTTGTTTTTAGCTCACCTGGCCCAAAGGGCCAAGTGAGCTTATGGCATGGTGCCGCGTCCGTCGTCAACTTTTTACTTTAAACAACTTCTTCTCAGTATCCAAAATGCCTAGGGTGATGATATTTAGCCAGAAGCATGCTTGGATGAAGGGCTTCTAAGTTTGTTCAAATAAATGACCTTGACTTATATTCAAGGTCACAGGGGTCAAATATGTTTTTAACCTTTAAACAACTTCTTCTGAATAACCAAGAGGCCTAAGGTGATGATATTTAGCCCGTAACATGCTGGGATGAAGGGCTACCAAGTTTGTTCAAATGAATGACCTTAAATCATATTCAAGGTCACTGGGGTCTAATATGTTTAAAACCTTTAAACAAACCCTTCTGAATAACTGAGAGGCCTCGGGTGAAGATATTTGGCCAGTAACATGCTGGGATGAAGGGCTATTTCGTTTGTTCAAATAAATGACTTTAAATCATATTCAAGATCACTGGGGTCAAATATGTCAAAAACATTTAAACAACTTCTTCTGAATAACCGAGAGGCCTAGGGTGATGATATTTAGCCAGTAGCATGCTTAAATAAAGGGCTACCAAGTTTGTTCAAATGAATGACCTTGATTTATATTCAAGGTCACTGGGATCAAAGATGTTTAAAACCTTTAAACAACTTATCTGAATAACCAAGAGGCTTAGGGTGATGAAATTTGGCCAGTAACATGCTGGGATGAAGGGCTACCAAATCTGTTCAAATAAATGACCTTGATTTATATTCAAGGTCACAGGGATCAAATGTCGTAAAATCTTCAAACAACTTCTTCTCAATAACCAAAAGGCCCAGGGTACTGATATTGGGCTAGTAGCATGCTGGGATGAAGGACTGTCAAGTTTGTTCAGATGAATGACCTTTTCCCACTTTCAACCTAATGTCCTTGTTCGACATTGGAGGTGACAGGCGTCATAGGTTTAAATCTTTTATTGGTTCTTATGAATCAAACACTGATATTCTGCCTGTAGCTGTTATTTAGTCCACTATTTAGATTACAATTGTGAGATTAATATTAGGTGAGCGATGCAGGCCCATTGGGCCTCTTGTTTCATGAACATTCATTTTGCGATTTTATTTGTATCATTGCTTTATTTAATGGGAGAAAACATTATCACACAGTATTATGCTAATTGTATCTTTGAAGAGATAGATTTGAATATGTGTATAGTTAATATAGGAATGATTCTAGTACATGTATGTGAATGTCAAAATATTTTACCATGTTGTCAATGTTGAAATGACCCAGTGTCCTATTTATAGTACCAGACTTATTTATCATTAATTGAAATGCAAAGGTTGTACGGCATTATTATATAACTGAAAAAAGCTATACAAATGTTCACCACTGCTGTAATCAATAACGGTCGGTAGGCTCCGTCAGGACCTTCACACTGCTGTGATCAATAACGGTGAGTAGGCTCCGTCAGGACCTTCACACTGCTGTAATCAATAACGGTGAGTAGGCTCAGTCAGGACCTTCACACTGCTGTGATCAATAACGGTGAGTAGGCTCCGCAAGGACCTTCACACTGCTGTGATCAATAACAGTGAGTAGGCTCCGTCGGGACCTTCACACTGCTGTGATCAATAACGGTCGGAAGGCTCCGTCGGGACCTTCACACTGCTGTGATCAATAACGGGGAGTAGGCTCCGTCAGGACCTTCACACTGCTGTGATCAATTACGTTGAGTAGGCTCCGTCAGGACCTTCACACTGCTGTAATCAATAACGGTGAGTAGGCTCCGTCAGGACGGACCTTCACCCTGCTGTGATCAATAACAGTGAGTAGGCTCCGTAGGGACCTTCACACTGCTGTGATCAATAACGGTCGGAAGGCTCCGTCGGGACCTTCACACTGCTGTGATCAATAACGGGGAGTAGGCTCCGTCAGGACCTTCACACTGCTGTAATCAATAACGGTGAGTAGGCTCAGTCAGGACCTTCACACTGCTGTGATCATTAAAGGTGAGTAGGCTTCGCAAGGACCTTCACACTGCTGTGATCAATAATGGTGAGTAGGCTCCGTCGGGGCCTTCACACTGCTGTGATCAATAACGGGGAGTAGGCTCCGTCAGGACGGACCTTCACACTGCTGTGATCAATAACAGTGAGTAGGCTCCGTAGGGACCTTCACACTGCTGTGATCAATAACGGTCGGAAGGCTCCGTCGGGACCTTCACACTGCTGTGATCAATAACGGTCAGTAGGCTCCGTCAGGACCTTCACACTGCTGTGATCAATTACCGTGAGTAGGCTCCGTCAGGACCTTCACACTGCTGTGATCAAAAACGGTGAGTAGGCTCAGTCAGGACCTTCACCACTGCTGTGATCAATAACGGTGAGTAGGCTCAGTCAGGACCTTCACCACTGCTGTGATCAATAACGGTGAGTAGGCTTCGCAAGGACCTTCACACTGCTGTGATCAATAACAGTGAGTAGGCTCCGTCAGGACCTTCACACTGCTGTAATCAATAACGGTGAGTAGGCTCCGTCAGGACGGACCTTCACCCTGCTGTGATCAATAACAGTGAGTAGGCTCCGTAGGGACCTTCACACTGCTGTGATCAATAACGGTCGGAAGGCTCCGTCGGGACCTTCACACTGCTGTGATCAATAACGGTCGGAAGGCTCCGTCGGGACCTTCACACTGCTGTGATCAATAACGGGGAGTAGGCTCCGTCAGGACGGACCTTCACACTGCTGTGATCAATAACAGTGAGTAGGCTCCGTAGGGACCTTCACACTGCTGTGATCAATAACGGTGAGTCGGCTCCGTCAGGACCTTCACACTGCTGTGATCAATTACCGTGAGTAGGCTCCGTCAGGACCTTCACACTGCTGTGATCAAAAACGGTGAGTAGGCTCAGTCAGGACCTTCACCACTGCTGTGATCAATAACGGTGAGTAGGCTTCGCAAGGACCTTCACACTGCTGTGATCAATAACGGTGAGTAGGCTCCGTCAGTACCTTCACACCGTTGTGAATACTGTAACCAGACTGAATAGAAAGACATATCTCTGTAAAACCTGAAGCAGATGGTTTCGCTCCCAAATCTTAACATCGAAGTGTATTTTTCCTTTTCTCCACAAACACAAAATATTTTTCTCAAATTTCTTTCCAGCAAATGAAGTATAAGTATGAATATTGAAAAAACAGACTACCACCTCCCGGTTTTTAGCTCACCTGGCACGAAGGCCTGGTGAGTTTATGCTGTTGGCTTTTGTCCGTTGTGAACTTTAATAAAATACTACTGGTTCAGAATGGTTCAAGTAATTTTGACTAAATTTGATAGGTGTGGTGCCCCTTGGGATAGAGGCTACTTCCTAAAAACAAGTGAAGGAATGTTCAGCTAATCTAGCAGGGAGCATTCCATGACACTCAATGTTGGGTATGGCTGACTGCACAGAAAGATGGGTACAAAACAGGAAACAGGACAGTAACATTTCAACTTCCCCAAGTCTTATAAGTTGAATGTGAACAATTTGGTACAAGTGATCATGTCATGATCAGTTTAATTAAGTTGATTTAAAATGCAAGCTGTTTGCTTGGTACCGTATTTTACCGCCATTAATTCCCTTCCTCACTTTGTCAAATGTCCTTGGAACAGGTTGGGTGCCTGCAATTAAGCCCCCTCCCTAATTTTGTCTCTCTCTCAAAAAATATGTATGTCAATTTCTGTTTCTGACATAAACATATGCGCTAAGGACCTACATCAGAGATACTGATACCCAATAGTAGTCACCGTGTTTGTCCGTCTGTCTGCAGCCTGTCCACTCTTTGGTAAATTTCCAGAGCTTAAGACTGATCTTTATGAAATTTGATATGGTTAATACACTGTGATATGTAAATGTGTGCAATAGAGGTTTTAAAAGTTTCTGAGGTCAAGGTCACTTAAAATAATCGTTGAGGGATATTAATTATAGCAGTCTGCATTTTAGAGGGTTCTTTACAATTATCCTATAAATATTGTAAAAAAAAAACCCAAGCATTTTGGAATGAATTGCATTGATTTACAAGTGTTTCAAGAGTTTGCCTTTTTTTCCTTTTCTATATAAATACTGTATACCGGGACATTTTGGCCACAGTTTTAATTCCACCTTTTCACCCTCTGTGCATGTGATTGATGTCTTATGAGGGCGAATTTATCATTACAGCAAGCTTTAGAGCAGACAAACCATAAAGAGTATTTACTAATGAATGATGACATTAACATGACACGAATATGTATTTTACTGATGATGTGCGAAAGTTTGACTGGAGGAAAGTATACATTAACAAATCATTAAACTTTCAATATCTTCAATAAGATTCATCAGTTTGGAAATATGTAATATCAAAGTTTTACTTTATACACAATCAATGTACCATTAAATGTGTCTCAACGTTTCAAGACGGACTGGTCCCTTTGTCTGGCTATGACTGATCATGAGTGGGCGATCTGTATTGTTTAAACTTACCACACAACAGATCGTCTTATCTCATTATATTTTGTCACCACAGATTCTTGAGGAAATTACATTGTACCCAGAAGGGAAAAGTTCATGTACTAGCACCGACTTGTGACAGTTTAGTTTTAAATGCCTATTTTCTGTGATACTTTATACTATCACTGCTGTTATTTACAACTTCCTGTATTAATCTTTATCAACATGCTTTTAACATTTGAACATAATACAATGATAGATATAGAACAAATTGTTGGGTGTTTTTTTTTTAAAGAAAAACATCCGTTATTTTGTATGCATTGTAAAGTATGTGATGATTTTGCTTACTCCCACATCTGTAACATGGTTATAACAGAACTAATGTTTCCAGTGATCTTTAATATTGTCTCATGATGTCGACCTATCCATGACTTTTGTGTCGTAACATGTCAAGTTCATGGTGACCTAATTTAAAAGTAAAGGTCACTGTGACCTATTTATAACTAATGCAGGCTAGAGTCCCTGGCTTTTGTTATACCACAAATCGACGAATTCATGTCAAAAATAAAAAATGATCAATAAAATATCAGTTATGTGTTTGCTGTTTTTGTTGTTCACACATTAGCTTGTTTACAATTTATAAACGAAAATCACTGGAAGTGAGGTCAGTGGAGCCTTACAAATGTATTACAAAATGATTTAAAATTAGTATATGGGGCAAGGAAGTAATTCCAGCAGTGTAGACAATAAAAGGTTGTCACTAATCTCTTTGTCGTTGAAAGCACACAGTACCATTGGTCAACGATGTGGTCATTCTGCCTTGGCTTATGCTGGCCGAAGAGATTATTGCTTTTTAATATGAGTTATATTACTTCTCTATTTCTATTTCGTTCTAATGTAATTAAGTGTTCTATCATTTTCTGTGTCTCCATACAGGAGTTGATCACTGAAAATTTGATAACCTTATATTGTCTATATTGTTAGAATTTCTTCCTTGCCCTCTATACACTCCATGGAGACAACTAAAAGGGCTGTTAAGTCAAATAGCACCCTTACAATTGATTAGATACTGAAATTATATATTCCCTAACCAAAGTTTACGTAGTTGATAATAACATATAACCTTAAGCCAATGTCCAGTGTGGTCAGTTATTCTTTTGGGGAAACCGTTGATAAATATAAATATAGCTACGACTGAAATAGCACAATATCCGGGCTTTTCAGCGAGAAATAAACACAGTATCTGTGAGAATGATTTTGCATACACAATACATCGCAAGCAAGAATTATAAATATCATAATATCTAAATTTAATGAGATATTTGTGTTCACAGTTGGATTCAAATAAAAAGAAACGGATTTAATTAGAGTGTGCATGCAAGAGAGCACTATAGGGAGAATTTCAAACCGTACAAAGTATGATATGAGTAGGTACCGTACAAAGTATGATATGAGTAGGTTTAAATGTAAAATACATTACTCATATTTATAGCGATGCTTGAGATGTTGTTTGGAAGATGGTATCGATTGCCAGTACTTGTATCCCAGAGAAGCTAACTGAATAAAGCGAGAATAAACATTGTGCCTACTGTCCCTGGCAGGAATGGCAGGAAAGAAAGACATTTTTGTTACGGTAGTTAGAAGTTCTCGGACAGCTGCCGCTTAAACGTATGGTTGAACAGTTACGAATTTCTTCATTACAGACTAATAATGACAGGAAAACTTTGTCTCTTGTCAATTTTTCCACATGAATTGTTCATGTATCAAACTATATTATCATGAAGAATTTTGTGATAAGATTATAAAAGAACTTTCTTCACTAAATTGTCCCTTAAACATTTAGTCTTTCCTCCAAAAGAGTGTTACAAAGCTTTGTTAAAAGGACTGTGTCAAAGTTTTGCATTGATATAAATTTATTGTTGAAACTTAATCTATTCTTGAAATAAAAGGATCAACTTCAATAGATGGCAAACCAATAGAAATCTATTTGACAGTAATTTTAATTGCGTTTTTGTCTGACACTGTGTAAGAGTCCCATCTTTTCTCTGGATCATATGGTTCCCATCGACTTGCCGGAAATATGTGCTTATTTCTGTCATACCAGCTACGAAGACACACTTTACCCGCGTGAGATTCGTCCTTTTCAACTGTAGCGTCACTAACAATCCTTACATCTGCGTGAACATCAAAACTGAACAAGGGCCCACTCTTGCCACGGGCTTTGGTGACGATGAAATCGTAGAAGCTGTAATGATGAGGAATGATCAGATCCTCCTTGACGTACATGATTTGATCAACAGTCACTAACTTGAGGTCATTAAACTCCTTCCGTAATGTCTCCAGACATTTCTGCAGAAACTGCTGCATTGTGTTGCCTTTACGCATCCTCACCTGGCGCCGATGTCCAGACCCGTCCCAGTAGCTGTATGTAATGTCTATCTCCTCATTCTTCAGCTTCTCTTGCTTCCCCACCCATTCTTGTCGCAGCTGTTCTCTGCAATTAGAAGTCGAAAGAAATGGAAGTTTTCATAAATAAAGTTGATTTAAATGAAGGAATATTTTTAAATGTTTAGATGTAGGAAAAATCAAGGCTTTTCTTTTGCTGAAACTGTGACAAAAAAAATAACAAGTGGCCCAATGGACCTGTATTGCTCACCTGGTATATATATATTCAGTGCTATAATATTCAGATTTCATGGTAGCATATTTCTGCCATAAACTGACTTACGTTTACATATGTCAATGTGATTTCTAAAAAGATGTCAACTTAATGAGTAAAGATGTTGACATGTTCTTAGATCATGCCGACAGAATTTATAAACTACATTGACATGAAACACACATTTCGGAGATAATTTTGCAGAGATATAGGATCTCATAGTAGTTAATTTAGCACTTTGTTTTCATGCTTTGGTGATATTTGGAAAAGTTTGAAAGTTTTAACACATTTGACACCTGAGATGATGTAAGCAGGTCAAGGTCTTTTATTCAAACAATTTTTATAGCCCTTCATCCCCATGAGTTATAAGACAAATACTACCATAACAATATATATATATGGGCAGATTGGTTGAGTGGTTAACACTCCGGCCTCCCACATATGCAGCCAGGTTTCGATCCCCTAAGTCGTCGTACGCATGGATATTCCGAGAAAATATTTTTCTCCTGCCTACACAAATCCAGCAACCCAGGTGGAGTATTAACTGGTCTGGGGTGGATGTTTTGGTATCTATGCTGTAGCATTCAAGTGTGGTGGCACTATAAATGATACCATTCGAAGCACGTTCCCACTACAAATAGAACACAATACATCTCCAGCACACACACAGGCATACACACATAGGGAGATATTAGCCAGGTGGCATAGGGCTAGTAGTTAGCGCCTGATAAGGCAGCTCCTGCGAATTCCTCAAAAATTGTATTGACTAATGTATATATGCTAGTTGTATCAATTATATATCTATGTACTGTAAAGCGCTTTGGAGTGGCTTATGTTAGCTAGATAGGGCGCTATATCAAAATTCAAATGCTGTAAATTGTTATTATTATATATATGTAGATCCTACCTGAGCTTGTTTTCCTCCTCCTCTCTGTCCCTGTCTGGTAAAAAGCTGGTGTCCACATTGGGGTCCTTCCCTGTCAGAACAAATGGCACATATATATCATCATACATACCAACTTGTATCATACCTACATGGTAATTATATATAATCTCTTCATCAATAACAAACGAGTCATCTTTTGAAATAATAGAAGACAACCCTAAATTCTCATTGATTGATTTGTAACCATGTGTGGTTTGGTAATATATGATATTAACTTGCTGTTACTGTATTCAGAAGCATCAGGTCAACATTCACTTCACAAGTCACAATGCTCTCTGCTAAATGCAGTATTTTTCTCTCGATGATTTGCTTACTTGGGTGAAGATGTGTTACAGGGACCTGAAAAGTGACATCGACCTCAACTTTGTCATGGTCAATGTCACTTCCTCAGGTGCATATAATTATAACATAATCACCTCAACGAAAGTCTGTAGTTGATCAATATTTATGTCACCCTGATGTGTAATTTACTGAAAAAACAATCGAGGGGATCAGGCACAAGTTCTGACAAATATCAATATAGAAAAAATAGTTATATATAACATGTGATGACAAAAAGTACAACAACATTCATTCTAACTGACATAAACAAGAGGCCCTGAGGGCCTGTATTGCTCACCTGGACAATTAAAGCTATCATTGGAAAAAATTCTCTAAATATAATACTGCAACTTTTTCAAAATATTGGCTCTGTCTCTCAGCAACACCTCATTGAGTCCTTTCTTTCTGCCACTATGAAGTGTGATGGATTATAAACATTTATCCCAATTAACCCCTATTGGACCATGCCAGGGGAGCTAAAATCAGCACACAGAAAGGTAAAGGTAAAGAGATGGAAGAAGGAGGGACAGAATATTCTAGTTGCAATAGTTGTCCACTTATTCTATATATGGACATTCAAAACTTGTTTACTGCAGTTTATTTCTTAGTTTATAATACAGATTAATTATAAACTGTATGTACATGTAACTCATTTTTTGTTACAGCAACTGCAAGACTACTCAAACACAATTTGTAGGATCCATAAATAGTAAAACTAGAACGTTTTTGATGCAAATTTCATTCTCATTAATATAACTACCGGTAAACCGGTAAACTAAACCAGTTTAATTCTACAAGTTACTTGTTAAGGAATGTTCAAAAAGGATTTTATACTGGCATCACAATCAGACAATTTACTTTCCTCTGAATCAGGATACCAATAGGCTGAAACATGCTATGTACTTTAAGCTTGACATGTGGCTTACCAAGTCTTTTCCTTTTTCCTGCTTCAGCTTCTTTAATTTCTGTTTCTTCTTCTTTATCTGTCTCCTCATCTTCATCATCCTCTTCTTCATCACAAGGATCAAAGGACAACATTGCCATCTGAAAAGATGTAAATCTGTTTTAAAAACTTGGACATTATTTAATACACTTTGTTTGCCAAAGCTTGTATAGCCTACAATGTCAAATTGTTTTCCAGATCCCTGTTACAATGCAGGCAAAACAACTTTTCATATATATATAAACTCCCCTTAATTTTGTTTTGGATATAACTGTAGCGCGACTGGGCCTTGGCTGTTCAGTTGGTTACAGTTTTACTCACTAAATTCACTACGCCTTATGAAAAATACATTCATTATTGTCAAGCTGTTTTTAGGAGTAGTCTTACAAATATTTACCCCATTTTAGCTATTGGGCCACTCCGCCTCCCTGCTCCCAAAGGAGTCCCATTCTTTGTATGTTCAAAATCAAGTAAATATTTCATACCAAACTTAGTCAAAATATGTCAAATTTTATTTCAGTGTTAATCTTATTACCCACATATGGCCCTGTCATTCTACACCAACTTAAATAACTTACCGCCAGGTAAGTTACAACTGGTCTCTTTTGTATGAATTTGTTTGTCTAATTTTAACAAGTTAAGTCCACACTAAGAGTAATTTGTAACATTTAACCCTTTCACTCCTAGGTATCTTTAATAGACTCTACCATACATTTATCTGGGTGAATCCATTATGGTCTACAGTGGTGAAAGGGTTAAAACATCAAGGCAGTGGCATGTTTAGGTCAGAAGTTGCAGACTAAAATACTGTACATGCCATATTTCAGTTGGCTCTGTTGGTGATTTAAACAATTCCCGTTCTTGATCTCTTGGTGTGGTCTCTTCTTTCATGGCCGAGGCCCAAGTGTGAATAACTAATTCTAAAACTTCTAGGCAGTTCTGGCCAGTCACAGTTACCTTCATTTGTTCTTTCTTTTTTCTGTCTTTCTTCTGTTGATCCAACATCTGTGCCTCCGAGTGTTTCTTTGCCAGCTGCTTTTCTCGTTTCTTGATAACATCTTCCTGTTTTGCCCGCATCTCATCAAGTGTTACCAGACCTATAATTTACATATATCTTATAAATCCAGAGTGATCAGACCTACCAGTGACTGACAACTCATCGATGGTGACAAGAATTTCAAATATATCTAGCTACATCTCTATAATTGTCTCTTCATCCTTATAATGTCTCTTAATCTCCTAATGAAGTAATCCTTTCCTGAAAGTTCTATTTAATTTCCTTTCAATATAACCAAGATAGCCATTATTGTGATCAACCATTTACAATATTTACCAATAGTATTTGATTTCAGCTGCTGTTCAATAGCATCATAATGTGTTGCAAATTTGTTCTGTATGCTGCCGATTTTTAATTCTTCTTCAATTTTCTTCTTCTTTATCTCCATTTCTTCTTGTTCCTTCTGTCGTTTCTTGATAAGGTTGGCCGCACGACCTCCCTCTGAGGCAGCACCTTTATATTGGGCCATGATGGTTGTCAAGGAAACCACACCTTTATATCTGTAATGAAAAATTTGGTGTATTATATTACTACAGATAAATTTAGTACACAGATAGTACGTTAAACTTCCCATCAGTTTCATCAAAATTAAACAGCTATTAAACCTGTCTGAAATATAACAAAATAAAGCTGATAAAATGAAAAATAAAGTGACTTCAAAAATCAAAAATAAAGTGACTTCAAACATCTCATGGATGTAATAGTACAATTTTTAGATTTCAACATCTGCTGACCAGTGAGTGTTATGTCAGATTTCCTTTTGAATATCCTCATTTCGATCTATAGATAATACATGTAATAAGTAAATTAAAATGTTAATGTTTTTCGTGTTGTATGAGGTTATTGTCATATAACACGATATCATAAACATTTTTACTTATTTTTATCTATTGATCAAGTAGATAGCATACAAGAAAATATGAACTCAACTGAAGTGTGCACTATAAAGATCGAGGCAGGACCCAAATCGCATTAGTACCCAATTCTGATCACTCTTTTCAAAAATACTTTTAAATAAATAAATGTGACATTCATTATAAAATGTTTAAATGCTGACAAAGATATATTCATTTGAAGTAAAAAATATTTCAAAATTCAAGCTGCGATCTGTATTGGGTAAGTGACCTTTGAATTAACACTAATTGGTAACAAATTTCCCAGGTAAGCTCTTCAGCTTGCAATTGGTGTTAATTTCGGGTGATACAACCATAAGCTAATAAAACTCATCTGAATTTTCAATGAATGAAGAAAATGATGGTTTGGTATCCATTTAATGCATTTATGGTAGTCATCTTAAGTCTTGTGAGCAAATTTCTAAAAGTGACCCTCTGTAAAAGATGTGCATTAATTAGGTTGCCTTACAAACGCCAGCTGTAAAGAATTTCCCTTTAGCTCAGCGTAGAGCATCGGGCTGGAGAGCCAAGGGTCGCGGGTTCGAGCGCCAGGGACGGCACCATCTTTATCACTATTCCTCGTCCTACTTGGAGACATATAAAGCCATATACGTCTCTGTTCTACTACACCTCTTTATGAAGGACCTTTTGCCTATCTCCACCGGTGTGAGGTTGTTTCGCCCAACTTTTAGTCCGGCTTAGTTTTGTATGACTAATCAGTGGCGGATCCAGAGACCTATCTGGGGGGGTTTCCAAATTTCCTGGGGGGGGTCCAAGTGGGACAAAATTGAGGAAAATGGTGAAAATACATGATTTTTAAAGAAACTTCTCAGGCTGGGTGGTTTCCTGAAGCCCAAAAAAAACCTCTGGATCCGCCACTGCTAATACCGCCTCATTTGAAGTTTTTCTAAGTCTTTTTTCATTAGTCTCATTAGATTTGTAGGTGACACAATACTTTTTCAGAGATGTACTAAGGCTAGTCAGTTAATTAAGACTTTCCAAGTTGTGACACAAACACTATGAAAAAATCATGTGGCAAGAGGCCATCAATGTGCTGCAATTAGATATAACTGGAAGCAGCAAGCCCGTCTGTTTTAAAGCATGAACTCTTCTCATCATTTGCAAGAAGATTTCTAAGGGGTAGCTTATATTATGGACTTTATCTTCCTTCTTGTAACTTTTTCAACAACCAAACGTTTGTGTTCAATTATATTTTGCGATCATAAAATGGAATAATCAATTAGGAAACAGTGCCCTTCAACATTTTCATAACACTAGCCTAAATGAGTTATCGCCTAAATGTTCAATATCTTACCGAAACGATCCAAAACGTGTAAACCCTAGTTGGCTTTAGTCGTTGTCTATATAACATATAACAACACAAAACTGTTCAGAGTGCGTGAATAGTTTCTGTTTGAACGGAAGTTATTACAGGAAATAAGCGTTTACGCATGCCTGATTTACATAGAAACAAAATGGAGTTAATGACGCGCCTGAAACAGGCTTCTGTCGAAACAACTCCTGTAGATATTGCTAACAACTTAGAAACGTTACAATTCGACAGTGCTCTGTCTGCAGAGGAGGTGCAACTTCTCCATCTCCGTAACAGGACACATGCAATCACAGTGTCTTCATGTGCACAAGCCACATATTTCGCCAGTGTTCTACACGAAGCAAGGTGCTTGTTTGAAAAGAAAATCTGAGAGTGATATGAGTCAAAGATTTTACAGTATATTCGCATTTATACCATTTTCAAGCAGTCAAAATATATATATTATCGGTATTTTAATCATTTCTAGTTCACAATAATGCTTACAACTTCGGTTTTGTTTCAGTTGTGGACTTCATCATTACCACTAATTCCTGTAGGAACTCTATCTAAATAAGAGATTTATAACGATATAGAACTCTGTCGTTATAAATCTCTGATTTAGATAGAGTTCCTACAGGAATTACATTACCACACGCCACAGGGTCAGTGGTTCGCTTCTAATTATATAAAACATGACAGAAAAACATTTGTGACGGTGGTGGGTTTAGAGGAGGAAACAAATGTGACAGAATTTAATTGTGCATATGATAATGGTAGATTTCTTGCTTCGGCGATAAGCATTTCCCTTTAGCCCAATTGTTAGAGCGGCAGACTGGGCCGGGGTTGCTGGTTCGATTCCTAGTTGAAGCACACTATTCTCTATTCTGTTATAAGTGGTCGTTGGTTGCCCTCCATGTTGTGACAGGGAACATGAGTAATGTGGTGTTTGATTGCAAACGACGTTTAAAGGGGGTGGGGGTGTTAGTGTAGCAGGTTTTAATTGTACAATAGCTATGTTTATGGTTGCCATCTAGCTTTACACTAGAGCGAATTACCCTTTAACTCAATCAGTACAGCAGCGGACTAGTGACTGGAAAGATGGATGAGGTGACAAGTTTGATCCCCAATGAAGCACAATACTCACTTTCATTTTACACACCAAAATGAGCATCATCAATATTTTAAACAAATCATTTAAAAACAAGATTTATGTGAGAAAGGGTCATGGTTAAAATACAATCACATACTGATTTGATTGGAAAAGGTTAACAACTTTCCAAAATATAAACATGAAGGAAAAAAAACATAATTTATTCTGGTTTTACTATCATTGTCAGTATCCCCCATCAAAATAAGTATAACACGGAGAAAAGGATATCAAAAGAAGAAATAGCAAACAAAACTAAGATTAGTAAAAAAAAAATTAGATTATGTCTAATTTATTTTTCTAAACAAAAATGATAATTTACCTGTTAAACAAATTATGTTTGGGATTATCAATGTTTCTCTCAGCAGCATGACCTACAACTAGAAAACTGACATGCTGGAGGTTATATATTGGGTATATATATAATCAGAAAATAGATAGAAAACAGTATCTATTGGGTAATAATCAATGCTCTCAAGGGTATCTTATTGATGTTTAAATGTTTTCTTTTAAAAAATAGGATAATACACACAGGTCTACTCAATAGTGACAGTTTCCACCTAGGTCCTTGAATAGGATAGGCACCTGAGACTGGCAGCTAGGTGTTTCCACCAAAACACTGACTGTAGTACTCAGGATGGCTATAAGGCATTAAAGGAGGGACAAGGAGTTGGAAGAAGTCACTAGGCATGTCTTTGTTTTCTGTTGTTTGTTGTACAAAGAACAGGTTTGATGGTATTCTGGTGGCACATCGATAGCCTAGGTTCATCTGGCCCTGAAAGTCTGGTGTCAGGGCCAGAGGAAACTTGGGCTAGGTGGCTCACTGACCTTGTTGTTGTCATTCTGTACTTCATGGTGACAGTCAATTCTTTCTCCTGATCTGCTCAAGATATTCAACCCAAACCATTGGTCAAAGTTGGAAACACTGTCCAAGGTCATTAGTATGATTACTCAAGGTGTCTGTAAATAATTATATAACAGGTATTTGTTTTACTGAATCTCACTTCTTCCTTCTTCAGTGTTATATTGCTGATATGTATTCCACACCACATTACAGTACCCAAAGGTTGGCCTGGCAATGGAGGCATATAAGCATTAGCCTTTAGTTTCCTAGTGCATTTGGCCCTAAATAACTTTAATTGTCAATGGTCCATAAAACAATTGCTTTAGGTTGCATCTCGGCATCCCTAAAAGTCTGTTTCTTTGGCTGAAGTGTACAGAATAGATGGTCCACTTGAATTCCTTGAGCACCTACTTAGCTGGTTGTTTTTTTCATTTTCCCAAGTGATGCAAGTACCTTGATCCTTTCATCTGGTCCCAACATTATTTTGTCACTCGGATCATAGTATGACACATTAAACTTTATCTGCCTATCCGGTATGTCCACTTGTTGAGTGTACGTGTCTATAGCCTTTTGGTACTACTGTACAGCGCCTGCACTCCTTTGGTGGTAATGGAGACACAGGCATCATCCCAGGGATCTCTGATAAATTTCATTTGTAATTAAACAAAAATGAACCAGACATGTTTTTCCCTGTGATGGATGATTTGGAATCCTTACACCCAGCCTCTGGATCCACTGCTGAAATTTGTGAACGTTGTCTTTGCTTTAAATAAAGATCTGAATCAAATTTAACTTTGATATTTTTCCTCTCTAGACTCTAATAAGAAATACAAATGTACCAGGTAATCTAAAGGGATTTGGAGTACATGTGATTTAAAGTGTTTCAATTTTCTTTACAGGACTTCCTATAATAGTCATGCTTAAAACTATATTACATGTAAGCAAATACAAAACGTAAAGAATTATCACTGATATACAAGTTTAAAATATGATTATAGTTTAGAATTACATATCTGTTTCAGACAATTGAAAAAACAGCTAAAAAGTCCACAGAAAAGAACAGCCAAGATATTGCAGGATCGTGAACCTCGTGACCCCCTGAAGGTCGGAATAATTGGCTGTGGCCGCCTTGGGAGTCAGCTTGCACACTGCCTACTTACTTATGGCGATATGAACCCTAAAGACTTAAAGATATCAACAAGGAGACCAGAAACTTTAGGTACCTGAAATACGTTTTGATTCTTCTCATAATTTTTTTTAAAATTCAAAAACAAGGAAGTGTCAGCAATAGACATTATACCAGAATATACTCTGAAATGTTTTATTACCTAGGAAAGACTGAAAATAAATTCTTGAATGAACAGGACCCTCAATCAGTATAAAAATGTGTGTATTAAGATGCTGGTTATCTTTGCTGAAAATTACAAATACTCTGAATCATTTAGTTGTAATAAGTTCAGTAGTTTAAGTGCTTTAATATTATGATAAAAAATTGAAATTTGAAATTTTGATATTTTAATTTTTTAGACTTGTCAATGAAAATTTGACATTTGAATTTCTCTTTGAATTCAACAGAAATATTGAGAAAGTTATCATTTGTTTTCTTCAACAGAATATTTAAGAAACAAAGGAGTAGACTGCACCCATGACAACATCAAGTTGGCATCAACTTCCCACTTGATATTTTTATGTGTGCTCCCGTCACATGTACAGACAGTCGCTGAGGAAATTAGTGATCATTTGCCGCGGGCGTCCATAGTGTACTCATTTGTCAGTACCTACACACCCAAGAGACTGAAACAGCTGCTGGGAACCAGCAATGTGATAAAACCGGAGTATAGCTGGTCAGAGGAAAGTGAGAGAAACAGTTGGAACTGTAACATAAATGTAAATTCAGCCCTTGAGGATCCAGAGATAGTAGAAAAGACGTGTCCCATTGGATACAAAAAATCAGGTGAGATTTAGTCTAATTTTGATTCATTATTGAAGGACCCTCGTACAAAAACTGTAACCTAGTGTTGGAAACTGTTTTTACCAGCCTAACTATAGCTTTGATAAATAGTTTCTGAAAAGATAGCCATACTTTCCGGAATTTTTATGAAAATTAAACAAAATGTTATCAACAGCAGTGTTCTGAGTGTAAAAAAATTTGGCGGGGCTACACTGGGACTCTTACACTAGACTTCAGATTGTTATGCTATCGCTCTAACCAATTGAGCTTCCTGGTCAACGAAAGTGTACGGGTGCAACTGTGCTACAGTTATATCCAAAAGGAGGTTAAGGGGAGGTCACTGTATGTAGGGAAAAACAGAGTGTGATGGGACAGAGATCATTTAATTAAGCTAACTTAAACAAAAATTCTACAAAATGACAGCTGTATAAAAGTATTTATTTTTTTATGATTTACTTAATATTTAGTGCTTAATGTGGGACCCACTGACTTTTAATTTAGTCTAGAAAGGTAACGATATGCATTGAGTGGCATTGCTTATGTGGCATACTATATTCACTGTAATTAGCATCAAGGGTGCTGATGGCTGAAATGGGGGGGTTCTTATTAGGATGATAAAATGTAAATTATGATAAAAAAAAGCTGTGCAACTTCAACCATTATTACAAAAGGACATTATGCACATACAAGTGGGGCTGGATAATTTGAAATCAAATATTGCATCCACTTCACAGGAGGTTCAGTTATAGTCACCAGACATACAATTCTTATAGGGGGAAAGGTCTTTATAATTTTAGTTTCCTCCACCCCACCCCCCAAAAAAGGGGGGAGGGGCACCTATAGGGGGAGAGGAACTTATTTCAGCAAATATGATTTTGCTGTCTGTTTCAGAATGCTTTGTGATGACTCAGGAGAAACTGGCTGAGATAATGATTTTTGCGTTCATCAACATGGCAACCACTCTCCGTGTAAATAAGGAGGATGCCCTCAGTATCCTCCACATCGTCATGTTTGAGGACACGCCAGAGGACCATCTACGTGAGGAGGACTTCATCAGGAACTCGCGTGACCAAACAGGGTATGGAGTGAGAAAATAAGGAATATATTACTCCCTGAACCATAAAAGATTTTTTATGTTTTATTCCATTGAATGTAGATACCTTCATTTTTACACATCATCAAATGTTGGTTGTTTAAATTGCCCTTTGTCCATGGTCTTTAGTTCTTCCATTGTCTGCCCTGAAACAACTCTTGTTATCACTAAATCTCAAGAAGACTGATCAATAAATGGTTGAAGTCTTGAAAACTGTTCATGAGTTGAATTTTATGAATACTGGTATGTATTCGAAAATTCAACACAAATTCTTAAAGTTATGAAATAATAACAGTTAATAGGCATTCATGAATTTGAAAATCATGAACTTTCATGAATGTTGAATTTATTAACCTTCCCAAATTATTACAATTAGTTAGTGTAAAGGACATTTGATATCCCCTTATTGCTATGTCAGTCTATTGTTGGTGTTTCAGCCATGTAACATGCTGTGTTATGTTTTTACAGAATGTTTCCGAGGTTCCAGCTAACCCAGCTGACAGAGGTAACGACATCTGTGCTCAAAAGAATCTCGACATGTCAACCACTCAGGGCAGCATTTTTGAAAAAATATCTTGGACTTTTTGATAATTATGTGCAACAAAAAGCTTACGAAATGTTGAATGGAAATATGTGATACAAGCTGAAAATATTCAGACTGAGACATTGCAGCATCAATACCTGTGATACCTAAATGTGCTATGTTGTAAAAAAAAATATCTACATTAATGTGATTAAATTGTTATTTTTCAATTCAAACTTTTGTAATTTTTTCAAAGTTGAGTCACATCTAATTAAAAAAGTATAAGTATAGTCTACCTTAGTAACAAGCTTAAGATGCTTCAGACATTTTATCCTGACTGAAACTTGATTGATTCTGATGCAAGTCCATCCTCGAGTCTCCAGGGGTTACGCTCACTTATGCTCTCTGCACCCCTGGAATATGTAATAGCAAAATTGAAGACACACAAATTATAGTTAATTGATTGGTCTTGAGTAAAAAAAAAAACTGACTAATCACGAGACTGGTCCTTTGGCGATTACAGAGGAGCGACACACACAGACTGTCAATTTTTACTGTTACTCGGCCAAGGATGCAGAGAGCGTAAGTGAGGGTAACCCCCGGAGTATCCAGGATGATGTAAATCTACTCTATTTTGAAACATTTATCACTTCTCTGAATTGTCCTTTCACATGACATTCTCATTTCAAACTTTTTTCCTTTCTGAGATAAGTCTACTCTCATTATAAACTTTAGGTGCTAATGATGTGAGAAGTACTCTCATTTCAAAATTATGTAATTTCTAATGTTAAATCTATATTCATTACAAACTTTTGTGCTTCTGGAGTAAGTCTAATCCTTTTAAAAACTTGATTTGCTTTTTGAGATAAGTCTTCTCTCATCAAAGATATAGCTAAAAAGTAATGAAGTTTTACTGAATATTGTGCTTTTTTATCATATAACCATTCTTTTGAATGAATCAATGAAAGTATTTTATCTGTACAAACAATCGACACTCCAAACAGATTTTAATTTTAAATACAGATTATGAAAACTTAAAGAAACAACCGCTAAATAAAGTTTATTTAGTATTTCTACTCATAACTTCACTGTAATGGCCACATAAACACTGGATACATTGTAATAAAGTTCCTCAGGGTAATCGCACTTCACGTGACCCAAAGATAACAGAAAGGGCAGGTTTAATAAAGATACCAAGTGATGAAAAGGTTGGGTTATTCTTATTTATTTATTTTCAAATTACTGATAACTACTTTTTCAACAGTTTTGTATAGGACTTACTTCCCTTGAACCAATACAAAATTGTTGGGACAATTTCACAAAGATTAACAGAGCACAATAAGTTGTCAATGTATTTGCTATGAATCAATTACAGTTTTTTACTCTTAAAATATTTCAGAATATACTAGGGAAGGATCGTCTCTACTACATCAGTTTCTCATGCCTCCATAATAGGTGCATTCTAACACATGGACATGAGACCTTGTTACAGCTATATATATTTGGACCTAAATTAAGGTATTCACAGCCAACTAACACAACATATTTTGGCACGAGGCTGACGTCAACCTCATGAACATACAAGTGGCTCTGTGATTTATCCATCTTTCCAACGGTACTAAGCATTTTTTTCGTATAACAACTAGAAATGTAGTTTTTGATGCAAGAAAGATAGGTTTGGTCGTTTATATAAGCATGATTGGGGTGGCATTTTCACCGAAAGTCAATCTAAACCCCTAAAATGTCATCCTGGCAAAATACTAGCCGCTTCCTACCAACTCGGCTAGGGAGACTTTCTCTTTAGCTCATTCGGTAGAGCGCTAGACTAGCAAACCAGGAGGTCATGCGTTCGACTCCTAGCGGAGACTTTAAAAAAATAAAGGCTGTTGCTTACATTTTAATTAAAGCAACATGGCAGACACCTAGAAGATTTGTTTTTCTTGCCAGGTGAAATGTAGTGAGATATTTTTATATAATTTCTTTGTAGCAATGAATGTGCTTGGCAAAATATTTAAAACTGTACTGAATAAATGTTGAAAAGACGCAAATACATGGGGTAAGTATACGATTTTATGAAGAAGAAAAAAAGCACCAATCAAAACTTGCATTTTGTTTTTTGTGCTTTGATAATTTTGATAGCTACACATGTATGTAACTCAATAATCTTTGGCTGATTTTCCAACGAATGAAAGCTTATCCGCTCGATTGTAGTGATCGAGGCAGGGTGGTGTTTCCACGGACTAGTCGTTGGTGTCCTATTGGAATAAATATTTATTAATCACACCATCGTTTTTTTTCCCTTTTTTTTTTTAATTAATTTTTAAAGTCTATTTGAATACCATGCAGAATCCTGTCAGAAAAAAACATGATAGATATGTAAATATTTTAAACTGTTTTAGGAATTAAATAAGGGATAAAACTAATTATACATTCATGCATTGAAAAGTGTATACAGTGTTTTGTCCTTGTCAGATATTTCTAGAAAATAGTTTTAAGCCATAAAAGAAATTCTGGGGGAGTTACTTCCCTTCCACCAGTGTTGCGGTCATCTTTAGATCCCTGTGTACCTAGGTTTGCACAAAGACGTATACGTCTCTGGTTTGCACTAGATTTTTTTTTGTGTTTGACTTTTTATTTTTCTCTCCTGATGTACATTTTGGACAACTTTTAAACAATGTCATACGAACATCTAGACTATGTTACATGTTTGGTTGGAACCTGCCTTCAACAGGTGCACACCTTTTGTTCAGACAATGGGCTACTGGAGGTGGGGTTATGTCATGCATGCATTACAAACACTTCTTTTTCAAAAGTTTGATTAGATGACATGACCATCGAAAACGTAGACAGGGAAATATGCATTGGTATTGTATCTCTATTTCCTGAGCATTAGTATTACGTGCAAGCATAACAAACATCACATCATATACAAGTATAACAGGCATTGGGCACACTGGCATAGCCATTTACCTGTAGCCGTTAGGCCTACATAACTGTGTTTTATTCCTCAAGCCAAAAGACTAACGGCGGTGTCTTGTATTACAACTACATCTCAGAATATTTATTGTTCGGATCTTAGATACAAAGGAATTGGGCAACAGGCAAAGCCTATGAGCGCCCTGTCCTCACAGTTATAAACAGTTTACACACGTCATATTGAATTGAAGTAATGATAAAACATGTATATTATTATGTACATGAATATTGATATGTGCACGTCATTATTATTTTTTTGATAATTGTTGTACAAAAACTAGATTTTACAACAAATGGCAATTAAAATGATGCTGGTGGACAGAGCACATAGTACAATTATGTACTGGTATCATTCCACACAGCAAAGTCATGTGGAAAAGATAAACAAGTAAGTATAATCTAGTAAAAGCGTCTAGTATCTTAAATGACTACAACTTAACTACACATTGCATTACAACGAGTACTTTAAATCAAATTCGAAGAGAGCTTCATCAGGTGTTCCGGAAGGGGAATCGTCTGCTTCCTCGTCTCAAAACGGAAACCGAGGTAGTCGAAACGAAGCAAAAATGCACAATTATGAGCACAATCAATGAAACTTCGACCAACATGTTACACAAGGAAATAAGACATTTCTCATAGAGATCGAATTCGACATGTAAATACTGTAGCATGGGGAAAAGGGGTAATTACTTTGAAAAAAGGGAAAGTTCATGATGGTAAAACTGGAATTGCCCCGGTTACGGTACAGTTAGGGGTAAAGCAGCCCATGTTGGTCTGTCCGGCTGATGCATATGACTTTTTAGCGTCCTTTATTTCAAGTTCAGGGGGTATAAACGATTGATGTGGTCAGTAATTTCTTTAGTTTACATACACAATATTGTCGATATATCAGACAGTAAAATTGAAGGACTTGGCAAGGATTTTGTTATCAGTCCTGATAAGAGGTTTTTAATAAATTCAGCCTCATATTTAAACAAGTCTGCCAAAAGAGGGACACGGTGTCTTTTATAATCATGTATATTAATCGCCGTTACCCTTCTTTGAAAATAATGTTCTCATAATAAGCGAGGGCGTTCTGTCAGTTTTGTATTGGGGTATGGCAAAGAGTGGAAAACCCAAAAGATCTGATAGAAGAAACGTTTCTGAGGAGAGAATGCTTAAGGTTGTTCAAAACATTTGTTTGACAATGGCTCGGTTGAGCAAGCGATAAAACGTTGGTTATAAGGAATCGGTTGAAGTTTCGGAATCAAATACAAACGAGGCAGGTACATATCCTTATCATTAATTGGTATTCGGAAAGATTGTTATAAGAGAAGCATGATAAGCTAGAATTTTGTTGTTCGAAAAATTGGAAAATGTATCCTTATCAATTGGTATAAATCACATCGAAAATAAAATAAAATAGATCTTTAGGATGACAAATTCGTTATCTCCGTTGGTAAGAAGGAGATACGGGTTTCTTGTCTCCCGGTGATGTTTTGATATTTTGCCGAGCCGAAGACTTTCTTTGGTCAATTGCCAGTTTTTGTGTTGCCATACCTCTGCACGGACGGTTAATAAAAATTTCTGCATCTACCGTCTTTTGTACATGACCTTGGGAAGGTAACTCATGGAAATGCTGCTAGATCTGGGCTGGCATCAAGTTCGCGTTGTATACTGCGAAAGAGCTTTGACTAACTCCACCGGTGAAACAAGCTTACTTAAGGGAATCCAAAAGCATCCAACTCACAATTGTGTTTACTGGATGTAAACACCAAAACGGTAGACTGTCTGGATGTTCTGACCGACTTGATAGACATAAACATTGACGCTTCCCTGGGGTTGAAGGCTGTTGAATTCAGGGTACCAAAAGTGAAGCCGCCGATTGATGAGGTCAGGAACAGCTCTTCACCGGTACGTTTGACGAGTCTGTCCAGAAACGACAACCCGAAAGACAGTTGCAATGATTCAAACAGAAAAAAAATCTACACTGTTTTCTTTTGATTATTCTGACTTTGTCTAGTTTTCTACATTGGCAAAATCTTTCGAATTTCTGTTATGGTGGTCAACCGTAAGTCTGGAACGTGAACCCTACAATACGCTCACTGCTACACAGTGTGATTTCTCTAAAACAAAATCAATTTGATGGATTCAGCTAATGTGTTTTGAATAAATTATTAGTTAAAAGATATTTATTATTGAAAAATTAATTATGTATAAGCAATTGATTCCAACTGGGTTTTTTTTATAAAAAAATGACCACTTTATATATAAAATTTCTATAAAAT